TGTGATCTAAATAGCGGAACTGATTACTTATAATTCTGGTCAAATTTGCAGATCATTTGGCCAGATTCAGAATCAAAAACACTTTGAATTTGGCCAAACGATCGACAAATTTGACCAGAGTTAGAAGTAATCGGTTCTGCTATTTAGATCATAATCAAAATTAGCCCCTAATGACTATCTCAAAAGCTAATCATTGAGAAGTTGATGCTTTATGATTAATTGATTGAAATATGGATAAGAGTTTCTTTCATTAAATTTTGATTTTTAACGATGAAATTGGAGCTTTAAAAAAAAAACTAGTTTGATGAAGAATAAATATAACTTTTTTGGCCTTAAAAGAATCAATGAAATATTCTCTTTTCAGCCATATTTAACAACTTAGACATAAATTAGGAGCTTCTTGAAATAATATCTTGTTTGGTTCTAATTCCACTGATACATTTCGTTTAATATCCTCTTTAATGGATTTGTAATTAATGATATTCTTTTCGCATTAAAGCTCCCTCTACGGCCCCTGGTGCTAATAAGGCAGAGAGTGAAACTTATAGATCATCTGGAATAGTTATTGTTATCATAATTGAATATACAAACGTTCGGCTCAAGGTACTTTCGAAGTGTTTGATACTCTCAATGTTCGTTTAATAATCTCAATACTCGTTTGATATGATTGATGTTTCCATTTTTATTTCTTTTTAGTTAGATCAAATTTCTTATAAATATTTACCTCAAGTAATTGATGGAAACGAATACAAAGCTGTAGAAAACCTATACAATATAACTGACGGTTCGCTTACAACTATTGATAGGCACGGGTAAGTATGATGTGAATTTTACTTTCTTGTTTGTACTTCTTACATTTGAATTTCTCTAATTCCATTTTAATAATAATCCAGTATTCGTTTAGTATTCCAGCAACATGGAACGATAGGGCAATTCCAATTTATCGCTCTTCTTGCGAGTTTAGTTGCAAGTTTGGCCCTTTTTGTAAGTTCTTTCCTTTTATATAAACCTCTTTATATGTTATATTATTAACATTAATCGTTTTACAGAAAGTTGCCGAGTTTGTAACAGAATTAATGCTGTTACCCTGCCTTGGCGAAGAAGAGCGTACTAAATACAGAGAAGTCAAAAAAGACAGGATTGAAGGACATTCTAATTGTCGCTTATGTTGCTAAAACAGATCTAATATTTTATTATTTTGTTTAAATAGTTATAATATATCATTTTATAGTGGTTAACATTTTCATTTTTTAATTGTAATGTAAGGTTTTTATGTGAGTGTAACAACATATTTCAATTTAAAAAAATATATTCAGTATATTTAAATAAATCAACTTGTGCATCACTTTAAATATTTTCAGTTTTTAGTTATACTACGAATTTAAAATTTTCAAAATTCACATTTATGCATTAATAAGTAAAAATTATCATTTAAATGCTTTTTAATTTTTAATATATATATATATATATATATATATATATATATATTACTTAATAAGAATTTTAATGATTTAATATCTTTAAATGGTTAATTGACACGTTCGGTCTAGGGCTAGATTGATTATATAAAAAATTTTTTTTTATATTTAATTAACAATTAAATTTCTAAAATGATTGTTGTCAAAGGTATGAGAAAGTGATACAATGATTCTGTTTTTGATTTACACCGGAAACGGAATGATGAAATCACGAAGTTTATGGTTTAGTTGAGTAAGAAAGTACGTCCGCAAAATCTGACATCCAATTAATCAGCGTGATCATATTAGTCACATATTACTGAATTTTCACATTTTATATCGTGTCGTATGATTGTCCGGAGCGAAGTGGAAGACTCATACTTCTATGCGCTTTGATGACCGAAATTACGATTTTGATGCATTTGTAATAAAATATCAAAAACGTAGTTTCAGCATGATCCGTCTGTAACGCCCCTGAAAATAATAATATACATGACCAGATTTTTCAGGGTCATACTAAAATTACTAAAAAATTATGGGCTACGTACTTCTACCGGTTCTAGTATTACTATTATTGCACGGCCGCAATTTTTTTCTATAACTGCAGAACTGTAAGGACTAAATCACGCGGATCAAGGTGAGCAGATCAGTATAGTACAAGCCACTTTTTAAACAACTATACTATACTAGTCTGGCGTTATACGTACAGTATATTATTGGGGTGTTTCATGCAGCAGTCTAATTACAAACATAGTGCTGATGACTAATGTTGTTAGGCGAAACCATTTTGGGCAAATGGCGAAAGACGAAACCTAAACCCGGCGAAAGACGAAAGACGA